AATCTGCGTGTACATGTACTGTATTTTCCGGGGTCTAAGCCCCCCCCATTCGGGTCCAAAATTCATACTTTTGTTGACGTTCGGTTCATAACTTCATAAGCCACATGCGGGACTTTGAATTTTTCACAACCTAACTTTAAGTGAGTATCAGTACTTGCCAGATGTTACCAATGGTAAAAAAAAAAGTTGAGAAGTACGACTGAAGTTGCAGCAAAAGTTTTCTTTACCCTTCACGATGAACTGACAACGTAGAAGCTTTGTGCTACTGCAATGACGGATTTCTGTCTGATGAAAAGTAGTGGAATGACTCGTGTCATCATGCATGCAGCATACAGAGTAAGCTCAGCCATTTTCTGTGTTGCACCTTTTATATTGATTGATTTCAGTCACGGAAAGACATCGTTCTCATCTTCAACAATCTCCTGCGGCGGAACGTTGGCGGTAGACAACCGACTGTCGAGTACATCATCAGCAGCAAACCGGAAATTATTGGTCTTCTTTTCCATGGGTGAGCTGGTTACAGATTATTCATGTTTGACATTCCTTCTGCATTTCACCGCGCTTTGCGGTCTCTCTGGAATCGCAGGTGATCTGTTCTCGTTTCAATCAACACCATACCAATCTATGCTGCCGTCAGAGTGCATGTCCGAACCCCCGACCTATGACCACCATTCACTATGTGTGCTGATGTTCCGCCGTGCTCGATGCTTGTACAGGTACGAGAACCCCTCGATTGCTCTCAACTGTGGCATGATGATGCGTGAGTGTGTGCGCTATGAGCAGCTTGCAAAGCTAATTCTTAAACATGAAGACTTCTTCTGTCTATTCAAACTGGTCGAGCTTCCGACTTTTGACATCGCTTCGGACGCCTTCTCAACCCTCAGGGTAAGTGCATTTCGTCTCCTAGAAAATTGCTTACAACTCAATGTGAATGCATGTTTGTTTGCCTTGACAGCTAATGCCAGCGGCCTAGTTTGTTGTGTACTTTGTACTTGCGCATGTATTGAGTCCTTGGAAGGGCTCCGCTCACATCCAGTTGTTAGTGTTCGGAGATAAAATGTGTGATTTTGTGCCGTGTATGATTCATCCCGTGCACAGGAATTGCTAACGAGGCACAAAGTTCTGGCAGCGGAGTTTCTCGAAAAGCACTATGACCAGGTGAGTGGGTAGAAAAGCGACCATTAGCGGACAAGATGCCATCACTAATCTCATGATGGACTATGGTACATTTGTGCAGTATACATGACAACACGACGGTACTTGTACACACCATGAGGGAAGAGGGTGTCACACGGTCAATGATTTGTTTTGCCCAGTACTTTGCCCTGGCCATGGTAAGTCGTGGTCCTTCAATACACAGCTGCTTTGGAATGCACACTTTCCGGGTGTTGCGCCACGACCCAATAGAGTGTTTTAAAACACATGTGCCGGTGGTGGATGGGGCCTTGGGGTGTCAGTTACACTAAGTCTTATGAGTTATAGAAAAGACGAAAGGATCAAGGCCCGGAACTACAAGTAAGTTACGCTATAATGTCCCCTAACACCGCCAGTTACTAAATAATCAGCTCATGCGATAACATTTCACGACACTGACCGACTGTACTGACGTTCTACAACTAACTGGGTAACAGCTCAACGTCCTTCGCAGCTCAGACTTTCAGCTTGTCTTGGTTGCGCTCACCTTCCCCTCCTGTGTTATCATATAACTTAGAATCCAAGTTGGAAGGCTGTTGGAGTGCGCATCCAAGATGTGCTAGAGCTGTCAGCCAGTTCGTTGTAGAACGTCAGTGTCGTGCAATGTTATCGCATGAGCTGATTATTTAGTAACTGGAGGTGTTAGTGGACGTTATAGCGTAACTTGTAGTTCCTTGGTCCTTTTTCTTTTCTATAAATTTATCCTTGGCTCTCCATCCGAGTCCACTTGAGTTATGAGTTAGTTTCCTACTATGTTGCCTGTTGCCGTGATCCGGCTTTACACCACACTTAGATCATAATTATAATTATGATTACCATCGGACATTGTGAGGTGTGCTGGTGGGGGGCTTGTCAGAACCTCTATACAAGTAGTAGTATGCAGTAATAGTAGTGTTTTACTTCTTTGAAATATTTGAATTGGGTAACCCGGCCGACTACTGCTTGCTTTTCCACCTATCTCTATTTGCAGGTTTTCTCCTCGTATGACCACCTGCTGCACTCTGAGAACTATGTCACGAAGCGGCAGTCTCTGAAGGTAATTGTATGTGCGCGCGCGCGTGTGTACATGCATGCGTTTTCACGTATTTACCCTTCCACACATTGTATACTGTAAATATACAAATTTTCGGCAGCTATTTAATTTTGGCTATATTCGGCACCAACCCAAAACGCCTAAATTAAAACGCCGATGAAATTTTTCACAGCATCTGTCGCACTATACCATGCCCTCTACCCCACGCCGAAAATAAATCGCCGCCGAAATGTCAAAAATCGTGAAGTGCCGAAATTTTGCAGCGTCGAAATTTTGTATATTTACAGTAATTGAAAATAGGGTATGTGTGGGGCGGTGAGGTTCGGAATGACTGCTAAGACAACCATGCATCAGTATGGGTATAATTTGTGTGTTCAGCGGCATGGGCATGTCATGGTGGAACCGGCTTATTTCTCTGTTGTTTAGAGTATGCCATGGTGCACTGTTGTCTTTCTGCTTGAGCCTTCTTCTGTATTTTATACCTTTTATAGCAAGCGATGTTTGACCCCAAAACATTTATGTAACGTTAGAGCAAGGGTTAATGAAGCGAATCTAGATGTTGAAACAGAAGGAATGTAAGCTTCCCAGAAGTTCCCCAGAACCCATCATTTTTCTGCAGCATGTCGGTCTTCATCATTTATGTGCGCAATGAATAGCAGCATGCATCATGGTTACCCTCTGAGTGCCCGGGTAACTTGTATGCGTAGTTGTGAGGCTTGAACTAGCCAGCGGTGCAACCCGACCGTGTGGAGACCGTGATGCTTGTGTGTTGTACCTGTGGTCTGCTGCTGTGTGCATGCGCTTAGCTCCTTGGCGAGCTCTTGCTTGATCGGCACAACTTCGCCACAATGAGCAAGTACATCAGCAACGTGGACAACCTTAAGCAGATGATGAACCTCTTGCGGGACAAGAGTAGAAACATCCAGTACGAGGCTTTTCATGTGTTTAAGGTGAGTGTCACGTGACCAAGAACTTAGTTTAAGGTGAGAGTCACGTGACCAAGAACTTTGGTGTATTCAGCGAATATGCTCCTGATACCCATACGAAGCTGCCCCTCTTCTGTTCTTTCGCTCTGCACTTCTGAGCATAATTTGCAAGCAGTTTTTGCAAAGGTATTCCGGCGTAGAGCCACCGTGCAGTGAACAGTTACCACGTTTACACCTTACAATGTCATTGAGGCAGCTACAGTTGTCAAGTTCTAGCTGAAACCTGACCCAAAGTGCATAGCAACTTAAGCGACCCCGCACACTTGACAGCCTGGAAGTGTTACAGACACTACTGGACACTACTGGACATACACAGTGTTACAGACACTACTGGACATACACAGTGTTACAGACACTACTGGACATACAGAGTAGCGTAACCTACCAATACAGTAGTCACGGTCAGTGTGGGAACGCCGGGTCCAGGGCAGACTAAATCCTTCACCCCTGCCAATTGTTATGTGTTCTCAAGGTGTTCGTGGCTAATCCGAACAAGAACAAGCTGATTCTGGACATTCTGCTGAAGAACCGAGAGAAGCTCATCGATTTCTTGGGAAGGTTTCACAATGATCGTTCCGGTAAGGGCTCACTCATTTCTCATGCACGTGTACTTGGCAACAACCCCACTTCTCCACATGGCTGGTTCTCTATGCTGGGCAGCTATTTTCACACCCTTAGCGTTCATATTACTTCGAGTAATTTTTACCTCAAAGTTAGGGGCGCTCGAATTGTCCTCATCATCATGTCGAGGAACATCTTAGAAGAAATTAGTTGAGTAATCCAATGAAGCAGTTTCTGCCGGCCTCACTATTTCTATGGAATCCGGCATAGTATTGAGATTTTCTTAGTGTGCCTCCATGTGATAATGGGCTTCCACTACCGTATTGTATTGTATTATTCATGGATTCTCCAGAGGTAAATTGCTACCTATCATGGGAGTCTCTCCTAACCAATAGAATAATGAAAAATAGAATGAATAAAAAACTCAAATAAAATCTGAGAATTTAAAGATGCCATGTGCAGGTTTTGTCATAGTTGATATGGGAAATGCATACGAAGACGGGTGGTTTTAGCGGGAACATTCCAAACTCTTCTAAACTATTCTACCCGTTCACTCTTGGATGAGGGTGGAATTTTTTAGGAGTTTCAAGAAGCTTTCTGAAGAGGCCAATACGCCAACTCTTCAGAAAATAAAACTCCTCAAAAGTCAAAGAGCGGCAATTCTAACACCCCCTTTAGATAACAATAATTATTATCGATGAAGTGGAGAGCCACAGTTTGCTGTCCCTCCAGGAAATCGCTATTCCACGGATGCAACAAATTTCGCGATTTTCAGCAAAATCCGCGATTTCCCGCGTTTTTGTTGTTTTCTGCACTAAATCTCACATTTTTATGTACTTTTCACGCCGTGCTTTCCATGATCCTGTAGTGTAGGTTATTTGCACAGTACGACTCGTACTACTCCCGAGTAGATATACGATGCAACAAATTTCGTGATTTGGCCCAAATCCGCAATTTTCTGCAAATAATTCCGCGAATTCCTAGCAAGTTCTGCATCATTCTGCACTTGTCGTCGCATTTTTGTTGTTTTCTGCTGCAATTTCGAGAGTTTTTTTCCACAAATTCCCGCAGGGACAGAGTTTGAAAATAACATATAAGCGACAGATTGTCAGAAAAAAGGATACCCAAATTCAGCAGTCGAAAACGAAACTCAAGAAAAGTGCAAGAGGCGCCCAAATTCAGCAGTCGAAAACGAAACTCAAGAAAAGTGCAAGAGGCGCATGCGGATACCCAAATTCAGCAGTCGAAAACGAAACTCAAGAAAGTGCACGAGGCGCATGCGTTGCTATGTGTAGTGTGAGCCACTGCCCCCTTGTTTGCTCTTTCATGCACATAGCTTCAGTATTAGGGAGGTTTAGTTCCCACGTAACGGAAACGCGTACGTGGGTGATCCACGTAAAGTGGATGAAGGGCACCCACGTTGCAATGTTGTGTTTAGTCACACGGAACAAACAAAAGCATGAAGCGAAAGGCCAAAACCTGGTCAAAGACGAAGCTACCACTGGCTACCCCGGCCTAAGAAGCTCATCCAATATTTTGATTTCGTGCTTCGGAAACTTATTCAGCTGAGCACCCTCACAGCTCGCACAATGCGCTCCATTCTGATTTTCACCCACGTTCTGGCGGAACGTGGGTGAGCCTCCATACACGGTATGTCGTGAATCAGAAAACGTCTGTACGTGGGTCACTGAGTATCACGTGGTGCACCCACGTAAAGTACCCACGGATTACGTGGGACTAAACCTCCCTATTTACTTGATGCTGGTACTTGTAGGCATTAGTAAGCTTCACACAGTACATGTATTGATGTATAGTAAAGCATTACTGGTGGAGTGGTGGTGAGTCTAATTTCCTGGTTAATGTTTGATAAGCTCATGCTACTGTCCCATCAACTAGAAAGCTGTGGAAATAGACTAGTGCCAGTAGTGGTAGTATTAAAGCCTGGGTATTGCATCTGAAATTTATTACTTCCGGTAAGGTTTTCAAAATCCACCAGTCTCTTTTTGTGATGGTAACACGATTATCATCACTGGTTCTGTTGTGTTTTCTGCGTCCTCCCCCGCATGACTGACAGAGGATGAGCAATTCACTGATGAGAAGGCGTACCTAATCAAACAAATCCAGGAACTGCAGCAGCCAGCCGAGAGCAAGTAGTAGTAGTGATGGCGATGACGATGGCAGTATACATCCTGCTGGCTCATCACAGCATGGTCACCAATAGCAGCGTACAGTATTGTTGTAGATGAGATAAAACATACTACTGTATCGTACACACACACGTTCACACACACACACACACACACACACACACACACGTTCACACACACACACACACACACACACACACACACACACACACACACACACACACACACACACACACACACACACACACACACACACACACACACACACACACACACACACACACACACACACACACACACACACACACACACACACACACACACACACACACACACACACACACACACACACACACACACACACACACACACACACACACACACACACACACACACACACACACACACACACACACACACACACACACACACACACACACACACACACACACACACACACACACACACACACACACACACACACACACACACACACACACACACACACACACACACACACACACACACACACACACACACACACACACACACACACACACACACACACACACACACACACACACGTTCACACACGTTCACACACGTTCACACACACACACACAGCACACAGCACACAGCACACATTAAAATAGAGAAAGGAGCAGAAGATGGGGTGCCTTTTGTGAACAAAATGATAGTGTTAAAAACGAAACTTGAAAGAGAGGAACGGCTAATTGGAAATCTCAACGAAAGTATATTTAATCAAAGTCATTTCCTACTGGGAGTGTGTTACGTGCCATGCAGAGATGTTTTATTGAAGAATATCATGACTGTTCAACCTAGATTTTTCATTGTACATGTAAAATAATTTTCTTGTTTTGTGATTTTGATGGCGGGAGGTTTTCTATTTCTCATTTGTGAATGTTGTGAGTATGAAGCGTTTTGCCGCTCCTTCATTGGTCTCCATCTGTTCGTTCTGTAGAATAAAAGTATTTAAAAAAACTTGGACAACAGCGCTAGCTAGCTACACTTTGAGGTACAATGCAGCAGGTAAAAATCAGGAATTTTGTGTATTGCTAAAAAGTAAAAACAAATACCAAAGGCCCTTTGCTGTGCTAGATTCAGCAAGTATCATATTACCAGGGTGGCTGTTACTAGTTTGAAGACTTTGGTGAATGATTGAGTACAGTCGTGTAGCTTATGGCTATGTTAGTAACAACAGGGTTTGTGTGAAAGTAAACTAACATTCTGCTACGCGTGCATACTTGCATCCAGTAGAGCAGGTGCATGCACTGTCTGCATGATCCAGTAGTGTGACAGTGACAGGTGTTAGCCGAGTCATGATCTGCTCTAGACTTTAGCCCGGCATGATCTTCACCTGGTCGTGCAGTCACTCGACGTCAGCTCGCCGTGATCTCGACCTGCTGTAGCAGTTGCTGGACATACTAGCTCGTCGGGATTTCCACGTGGTCTCGCAGTTGACATTAGCTCAACATGATCTCCACATCGTCCAGCAGTTGCTAGCTCATTGTGATCTCGACCTGGTCTAGCAGTTGACGCAGCAAAGACTTGTCACTGCAGTTGGCCTGCAGCTGTTCACACACTGTCTTGTCCGTCTCTGGCGTGTGAGATTTCCAACGTCCCCCGAGCATGACGTTCGGCATGAACAGGAAACCAACCTGTAGTGTAGTGAGAGCAACAGGAGCAGCAGCCACAGCATGAAGAGTGAAGAGATGAGTAAAATAACAGAGCACAGGTCAACACCTGGCACAATAGGAGCACAGCCTCAAATCTGGCACAATAGCGCGTAGGCATGGGCACAACATTCGGTAGAAAGTTACTAGAAAGCTAGTAGAAACACAGCACACTGTAACCTTGATATGCACATTGCACATGAGACCATGCACCATGTCTGCAGTGCCATGGTGCATGGTCTTGAAGTAGCAAACACAAATCAACAATCCAAGCCACTTCCGAGTTGAACACACCAGTGCGCATTTAGGTCACATTGCCACACGCACACGCACCTTGCTGAAGTGCCATGGCTTGGGCAGCGAATCCAGCTCCACAGCTGGTAGATCACCATCACTGGATTCAGTTGGTGAGGAGGACAGCAATAAGGTGGAAATACTAGTGCATCTTCCCAGCTCGGTGCTTAGCTCAGCAACTATCGGCTGTGCAAAGCCCACTCCCGAGAGATGGACGTATGGAATTCCTTGGAGGTTGGCATCAGCTTTTAGTTTCGCATCAGCTGTACTCGTTAATCCCAGGTGTGGCACGGCTAAGAAAGACAATCTGAAGAGAGATCAAAGTTCAAACAATTCCACAGCACATGATAAGAGCGTCATGATCAATTAAACACTGCTGCACAACAACTTGCATTGTCAATCAACTGTTGCAAGTACAGATTAGAACATTACAGGAAGGCACTGAGGTGTTGTATCTTAGGCAGACGTAGTTTAAGAAGGTGGCTGCTCCTAATGTTTGGGTTTGTGCGTCAGTCGCCAGGAAGGGCGAGCTATAACAGTACGAGCAGCCAAGTTAAAGGGGAAGTTAAGTCTAAATCAAATTTTCACCAGTTGTAGTCTTTGGGGTGCTGAGTCGAATGGTCTCGGTCCGAGGAAGTTGAGACGCTCCCTTCCTCCTTTATTCCCAATCGAACTCGCGCACTTCCACCGAAACTGGGTGACTGCGCCCTACTAGATGGGGATTTGTATGCAAAATGTCAATAAAAGCGCCATTTCGTTCTTACAAAAGCACGGATGATTGCGATGGCCCATATGTTGTAGCCTTTTGGACGCTGAGTCGACTGGTTTTGGTCCGAGAATGCTGTGATGCAGCGTTCCTCCTTTATTCCCAATCGAACATGGTTGAACAAGCGGTCACGTGCTCCTGCCTGTCCAAGTCACCTGGTCACCGTGCCAGCAGGCGACAACTTTCACACCAAGGTTCAACTCGAGTTCAACTCGAGTGACAGGACTGCACCCAAAAAAGGTCAAACAGGCTGCACAGTTGTACCCTGCAGGCACGGTGACCAGGTGACTGGTGTATGCAGGAGCACGTGACCGCTTGTTCAACCATGTTCGATTGGGAATAAACGAGGAACGCTGCATCGCAGCCTTTTTGGACCAAAACCAGTCGACTCAGCGTCCAAAAGACTACAACATATGGGCCAATCGCCGTCATCCGGGCTTTTATAAGAACGAAATGGCGCTTTTAGTGACATTTTGCATACAAATTCCCATCTAGTAGGGCGCAGTCACCCAGTTTCGGTGGAAGTGCGCGAGTTCGATTGGGATTATAGGAGGAAGGGAGCATCTCAGCTTCCTCGGACCAAGACCATTCGACTCAGCACCCCGAAGACTACAACTGGTGTATTCCTGATTTCAACACTTGCCCTCCGCTCTGACTCGTTGCTTGCTCCTCATTGCATATACCACTATTCATTGTATTCGACAAAAATGTTTTGACGTTGACGCATAGCTTTCAGCAAACAGCTCATGCACGGATATTTCAACAGTATCGGTGGTGGCTATGAGTGGTGGCTATGCCATTGACTAGCAACTTACCTGTCCAAGAGTAGCGACTGAACTTGCAACAGTGTTGCCATTGTGATGAGATCTAATTACAGAAGAACGGCGCAGGCATCAGTGGAGATGTTGTAACTGATACATTCTGCCCCATACATATGTGAAGTCAAGTACACTGCGTACTCTGAAGCAATGTACTACATGTATGTATTAGTCAATAATAGTGTTCAAGAACTTGCACAGTAAAATTGTGTCTAGTGAGCAGTGAGCGATGTCATTGGAGAATGTGTTTTGGTATGATGGGGCAAAATCGTGTGAATCTATATCCTGTTGAATCACACAAACTACACGTCAATGACAAAAAATATCTTCCCCCAATTGCCCTATACTAGTACCGTATTTTTACGGTTGTAAGTCGACCTTTTACGACTAAAAATAGAAGGAGAAAGGGTGGGGGTCGACTTACAACCGGGATTCGACTTATAACCGGGAACTATCAGTATCTTACAAAAAATGACTTGCACTGCATGCACGAGTGCACCATGTGTACACATTTTTGCCAGTTTTTCGGCATTTTTTTCAAGGATTGGGACGTTATACCCTCCAATAAGGAATGTTTACATGATTTGTTGATGTGTTAGTAGCAGGGAGTGGTTAGTAATGCGTCGTTGGGTGAACACTTTAAAGCGCAGAATTGAGACCTCCGGATACGGGGGTCGACTTACAACCGGTAAAATACGGTAGTTGTTTGTCGCCCCATACAGGTGATATCCATCTATATTATTATATTCTATAGTGATCAGCACTGGTTACACCAAAGTGCAAATTGACACGAGTGTTGGTCCTATCGAGACTTACCCCGTTCTTCTGCTGTGAGGATGTACTCAATGTCCATTGACACAAACGTTCCGCACTGCAACGGGTGTGCAGACTTGTCAAACGGGCGCATCGGAGCCGGTAGCATTTGAAAGCCGCACGATGATGCCTTTCTTGCCCACGCTTGCACCTGCACATAGAGAACGGCGCATTGCTCAGACCAATACTGCATTTATAGTGGGGAGGCAAGTTGCCGCTGTACGTGTGTGCATGTATTGCGGGGCGGGGGTTCACAATCCAGTGCCACACTACACTACACACTACACACTACAGTGATATATCCTGATAATTATATCCCCTACCAGGCGTGCACTGAGTATCCCCTACCAGGCGTGCACTGAGTAGGCTGAGGAAGATTGAGGTGCTGTGATTGTGATACGAGTGCGCACATAATTTATTACTTGAATTGCTATTAAAAAAAAATAAAAAAAAATTCGACGGGGTTCGCGTACCGGGCAGGTCAAGAACAAGGAGTCGTACAACTCCCTGGTCAAGAACCACCTTTCCGCTTCCGTGGGACGCCACCACCCCATGATCAGTAATTGCTATTAGTAAGATTTTTGTCTCCATTATTGTCTCCACGTCACCTGTTTGAAACTTATCCCAACATACTTCATCCACTCACCATATCATTGACCAGAGATGACGTCGCCACCATCCACTGGACTTCAAAGTGGAACGCGCAGTTAGGCTCATAGCTACCCGGGTATCGCACTGCACACCATTCTGGCATGTCCGATCTGCCAGAAGCGTGCGACTGCGTCACCATTGTTTTGAGGGTATTACTCGTGGCACGGTCCAAAGATGCATCATCTGAGAGGAAAGGAAGAGGAAAGAGAAATAAGCAAGGCTATAGCTCCAGCTTTCAGTACAAGTCACTCAAGAGAGGCTTGCGGCATATTTTGAAATGTTTTCTGGAAGGATGGTCTTCCAGTATTTTCATCACTAGACATGCACTTGCATTCACCGGTTTACAGTTCAAACCAATGAAAAATGAAAGTGACCCGGGATACACTTTCCCCACCCAGAGTCCAGCAACCCCTGATGCCGTGCAGCTTTGCAACACCCCCAGCTCAGTTCACATGTCCACCATGCAGCTCACGGTGGCGATGCAGCTGTCGAGCGAGTGGTCTGCTTTCACAGGTCAGCAGTGCACTCGCAATAGAGCACTGGGGCCCACAAGCCCACAGGCACTGCTGAGAACTAACAAGATCAAAGGGAAGATACCGGTATTTGACAGTAAGTATGCATAGCGTGTGACATTGGCAACTGGTGTACTGTATTACCAAGAGTACATGTACAAACCAAGTGCCAATGCTATGTTACCATCACTCACTGTGCTCAAGGCTACCCGGGTCAAAGTAGTTGACGTTGCGCTTCATCCATCCAGGACTGGTGCCCTTCTCCAAGTTCTTCTCTACGTCCATCTCCTGACTGGTCACAAAGGAAGACACATGCGGACTGGCACTGCAGTGCATGAAGCTAGATGCACGGCGACTGAGTGCTGACTCCGGCAGAGCGACTTCAAACCAAGTGTTTTGGAAGTGCTCCAGTGGAGATACGTCACTGCTGCCAGAGGCTGGGAAGAGAGATGAAGATGTCGGACTCGATTCACCTGGGTGGTGTATATGTACACACACACACACACACACACACACACACACACACACACACACACACACACACACACACACACACACACACACACACACACACACACACACGTGCACACTCACTCACACACACACACACACACACACACACACACATGTGCACACACACACAACACACGTGCACACTCACACACACACACACACGTGCGCACTCTCTCACACACACACACACACACACACACACACGCACACACACACGCACGCACACACACGCACGCACACACACACACGCACGCACACACGCACACACACACGCAAAAATGTTGATAATGTTCAGGAGGTTCTCCATAGTAACAACTCATAGCCAGAATGCGGACATAGAGTACAAGTGGATGCAGTAAAGGAAACCAAAGTCAAAGAACAAGTGATCGATTTCCCTAAAGCTTTTCAACCCACTCTCATCATTGGATGCTTATACATGGGAAGAAAGTCAGAACTACATGTACCCAATGTTAAACTGCAATGGAAAGGCTCAGTGTAATGAGATTCAGTGCTAATAT